ACCCGCAGAGTGGCAGTGGGAACGCTTTGATGTGGTCGATGCTGGTGATGGAAAAGTGGCTTTTAGAAGCCATTCGTTTGGCCAGTACTTGAAAGTCAACGGTTGGAAGGTGGACGCCACCACAGAACCTGTGGGTGCATGGTCGTCAAAGGCGGGTGCCTGGAATGCTTTCGTGCCTGTGGATATGAGCCAAATGTCAACCTTGGCTATTGAAAACTCTTCGCGCGCGGCAGAGTCACTTGTAAACTTTGTGAGCATTGGCAATCAATCTTTCGCTCCTCATTCTGCCACCTCTGCTACTTCCCTCACACAGAATGGCCACTCCCAACACGCCAGACCAAGTGGCCTTGACGCAAGGGATGTGCTGTCAGGGTTGTTATGAAATTAGTTGTTGCCGCTGTCTGCCGTGTACGTTGCGCCTTCAATTCATTCCATTCATTCCAGGCGATGCCGGTGCAACCTTTGACATCAGTGTCAGGACTGCATGATGCTGTGTGCCTGCACTGCCCCCTGTAGAACCTAGTTTCCGCTTCATTTTTCATTTCAATTCGATTTTCCATTTGATTCTCCATTGCTGGGGATATTGTCTCTCAACTACAAAACCCAAGCCCTATTGAGGGTCAAAAGCGTCTCAACTTGCTTTGAGAATGCTGCAGGAATGGCAACGAGGTTTGTGCCCGTCGCACCGATGGTGTGGTGAACTGGAACATCGACTTGACCATTTCGTGCCAGGACCCCGAGCAGTGCAAAGCGTCGAGGTTTTTGTTGATGCTAAGTCGTATCTCTTGTTTGTGCTTACGTGTGCCTTTGTGCGTTTCAATGCCTCAAGACTCTTTACGCCCGCCGCGGGGATGCCCAACCCTATGGCTGCAGTGAGGCAGCGTACAAGGAGATGTTGTGGCAAACCCAAACCCCTGGAAGGAGGGAGATCTTTGGTGGCAAGCCCCAAAACGGCCAAAAAGGAGCAGTTAGGTGGCGAGCCCTAAACCCTGAAAACAAATGTTTGCAGGACGGACCTGGGGCTTGAAAAGACACGCGTAGGGAGGTTCCTCAAAAGAAGCAATGTTGGGGTTGGCAGGGGAAGGGAGACCCTTCACCCCAATTCGAGATGCTGCGTGGCAAGTCCTGGAAAGGCCCGAAGCCGAAAAGGAGAGTTTGGGTTTCAAGCGAGGTGCCTTGGGAAGCCCCAAGTAAACCCTAAAGCGGCTGAGGTGAGAAGGTGAAATTGTCTGCTGCTTATGGATAGAGTAAATGATGCCTATATGTATACAGGCCTATTTGAAACCCACAACAACCACGCAAGGATTTTTGCAATCCGCCTCGAGAAGACCATATGTTTTCGAAAAAAGAAGAAATTACAACTAAGTATTTAACCGCTCTTCCCCGCCATACAGTTAGGACTTCTACTTGGAAAGGGCCTTGAGAAGTGTTCCTGAGAAGGACAAGTCACAGCACCAGGTGGTGGTCATCGGTACGAGTACAGAGAAGAAACGGTGTGTGAAGGTACATGCAAGTAGAGACCTTACCTGCCTTGCGGATGCGGCCAACCATCCCTTCCGGAAGAATACTGATGGCCACCTGGACCCTCCCGAGACCGAGTTCGAGGTCACCGTGGAGAAGATTGCTGGGGATGGGACCTATGTGTGCGCAAAGCGCGTGGATGCCGACTCAGGGTGGGCGATGCACTTGGCAGTGGGTTGTTTCGCTGGCACCCTGGTGGAGGACATCTCCAGCCTTTCAGATGGAAGCTGGAAGATGTTGATCATTGATGAGGCGCAGTGCCATGCTTGAGCGGTACTTTTTCAGTTTTCGCATGTGCCCATCCCACCGCGAGGCCATGGCCGAGCTGCACAACCTCTTCCGTACCCCTGGCTTCGAGCCAATGCGCTGCGCCATGGAGAATGTCGTCGATCCTGTAGTTCAGAAGGCAAAGGTCCTGGTCCAGGATACCTTCAAATGGCTGGACCAGCTGGTGCTTGATCTCATCCAAGAGTCGGCTGCCTTTCTAGGAGGCTCCGCAAGAGTGCTGCTAGAGCTGTTAGGCTTAGCCAGTCCCGTTGAAGCCTTGACGGACATCATGAACGGAAAGGCTGCTGAGGCTGGGGATGGCCGGGGAAGCAGGTGCCATGGCTCTGCGTCTTTTGCTTTACCCTAAGGTGTGCGACGTCACTCTGAAGGAGACCTCCGAGCGCATGTACCAAGGCCTGCCAGTGCCACTCTCAACACAGACGCAGATGCTCATGGACCTGGTCCCAGAGGTGGCCGTTAGTATTATGAGAAGCTTTGGAAGCAGTTTGCTTAACTTTTTGTCAGACGCTTTCATCCAGCAGCCCGCCAACTTCATCATCAACCAGGTACAGAGTGCCCTTCGCGTGGGAATGGAATATCTGACCGGATTGTGCGGCCTCATCCCAGAGGTTGGCGGGATTATTTGCATGGTCTTCACTGGTGCGTTGACGGCTGCCGAGGAGTGGCTGGGGGGGCCTTTGGCATCCTTCCTAACAAACCTGATGAAAGACATTGGGGCGAAAATCCTGGATGCGATTGCCTGGTTTACCAACTTAGTTGCACAAGACCTCCAGAACGCTGTCAACAGCATCCCCACACTGATCAGTGAACTTCTTGCCAGCTTCGCTGGGGAGCACCAGTGGCTAAACGTCATCTTGCAGGGCCCAATCATGGAGCCTCTTGTCAAGGTGCTGCATGGCTCACTTCAGGGTTTTTCAGATATTTAGGGCAGGACATTGAGTTTGTCTGCCAGCAATCATGTCAAGGCCCTGACCGGCATCATGCACTTCTTTAGCTCTTTGGTCGCTGGCATGTTCCCAGGACTGCAGGAGAAGTTTGATGCATGCAAGGCCCGTGTGGAGAAGCTCGTGACCCACTGGCCCAGTCAAAACCAGGCGCTGCTGTCTTACTGGGCCCATCAAGGCAGTCAAGGCATCAAGCAGCTGGGAGCCCAAAAGCTGCTGCAGACGGACCTGGCCAGCGTTGCGACCACAGTGAGGGCGCTTCCCATTCCACGGAAACATCGCGAAGCCACTGCCGGTGGATCTTGCCGCCCCCACACAGGGGAACTCATTTGCCTGCATGTCCGCAATTCCTATGGCTTCCGGCAACCTCTTCTAGTGCAGCCATCTATCAAGGCCATCCGTGAACGTGCCCTGTTGCTGTGGCAGCAGCAGGACTGTGTAAAGCTCGAGGTTAACGGCACCAACATCACCGAGGCCAACATGGAGTCTCTCGGAAAAGTGGTCGTCTACTTCGAGCACCGGGACGGAAGGCCAATGACCCAGGCCGAGCACTCGGCCCTACACTCGGCCCTGGATGCAAGCCTGACAAACCAGACACTGGGTTCCGTTGTAGTAGCCATTGTTGGTTCATTTCGGCCTTTCCAAAAGCAGTCAGTTACGCAATGAGTCTTTCTGGAAGCCCTAGGTCAAATCATGTGCCGGATGTGTATCTTGGTTGGCTGCGGCTTGGCAGCCGTGTCAAGCGCCATTTCATGAAGTACCTCCAGAAGAGACAGCCTACTGAAGGCATGTCTTTGGTCCAGTTTGACTTCTTCGCAGGCGTGCCGGCCTGGCAAACCTAGACATAAGGAAAATCTATATAACCCTCTTTAACTTCTGGGTGGCGCTGAACCCTCCAAGCCTGCAGCATGCTGCAGCAAATTCAAGACTCTAGTGAATGAACTGTTGCAGGGCTCGTTGACTGGGTGGGTGACGGCATTGAGACCATTGGCACCTGGGCACTTGACACCACTGCGGATGTTCTGGACCTGTTCGGTGCGGAAGCAGCAGCAGATTGGTTTCGGGACCTTGCGGGAAGTTGCAGGTCTTGTCTTGCTACTGTAACCACTCCTTGCGTTGCAAGCCATGAATGAACTTGTTGAGAGGACTTGGCAGACCTGCCGCCCCTCTTGAACCGGCTCATCGACAAAATGGTTCCCTTCGTGAATTGTCTTGAGTCGCTGCCCGAACCTATTCAGTTCCAACAGCTTGTCCACCTTGCTCTCAACTTGGAGGAGCTGCCCCAAACCATGTATCAACATGTTATTCAAAGGCCTTTGGACGGTTTGATGACCTGGGCTGACATGCTTCTTGGCAGCTTGCTCAGAAACGAGCAGTTGGTAGACGTGCGCATTGGCCCCTCAGGGTCAATCAAGAAGTGCACGGAAGGCCGCGGGAAGCACCTCGTTTGCGCAGCAGATGCAGCCAATGAGCATAAGCGGCTGCAGGGTGGCACGGGTGGCACCTTCGAGGTCACGGTGGAAGGTGACCGAACGGTGTGCGTGCAGCGCACTGATGTGGATGCTGGCTGGGCCATGGACCTTGGCATTGCCTGTAAAGACACATCTCTGCACCACGTCGTCTACGTGGGAGCCTCGGACTGGAATGAGAAATGTATCCACGTTTATGCTCGGGGACTCTACTGCCCAGCGGATGCGGCAGATCGATCCATTCGGATCAACTCGGATAAATGGGATGCCCCGGATGACTTCCACGTGTGGACAGAGGCAGGCTAAAGGAAAGGGTCGGCCGCGCAATCTTGCTGGCTCTGTACGAGCTGTGCTCTCAAGCAATCTAAGATGCTTTGAAGTCTTTCTAGGCGTTGAGGCCTCAGATGCTTGTTTCGTTAGTTATATATGTTTTTGCAAGCAGGGGGACTTCATCTGCGTCAAACGCACGGATGCGGACACGGGATGGAGCATGAACTTGGCAGTCGAGTGCTACGCAGACTACTTCACCGAAGACCTGACCGCACTAGCAAGTGGAAAGTGGAAGCTGCCCATGCTCAGCAAAGTGTGGGACCAAGTTCACCAGCTTACGCTTCTTCCTGGCATGGAGATGGGTCGCTGCGGCTTTGAACATTTCCTGCTGCCTAGCGCCAATTACAAGGCACTTATTGACTTGCTCTCGGGCGCCTTACTATTCCACCCCTTAACCCTAAGCTCCGAGTAGGCCTCCTCGGCGCTGAAAGCCCTGTCGTGGGGGTCCAATCAACTCAGGCTGCCTCTGAAAGGCGAGCTTTTTGATATGGTTCAGAAGGGCTTCCAGCTGGTGGACCAGGTCATCATGTGGATGGTTGAAGGCTGCTTGCACGTAATGTTATTTGCCCAACAGATTGTTGTGCTGTTGCAATTGCTGCGGTCAGCATAGCGATCTTGAGTCTCATTTTCTATTACTTACTAGTTCCTGGTGCTAGTAGTCTGAATCTGGCAGTATGTTCACGAATCATTCGCAAAGAGTGTGGTAGCACGATGGGGTCCTTGCGTGCAGAGTGAAGGATATTGGTGGCTAGGATCCATTTCCCAACCCTACGTAAGCATTAAGAGGCGCAATTAGCCAAAATGTAGATAGAACATCGAGATTGGGGGAGCTTTTATGTATCGCCTTTGCTCCCTGTAGTATATTTGCTTCAGGAGGACAACAAAAGTTGTGCGCTGTATCCTGCCTATGAACAAGGATAGGTTTTCCCTACATGTCTTGCCAGGCTTGGGAGAACTACTGGGCCAAGCCCTACAAGGCAGCATTGCGTTCCAGTTCAGACGCTCATAACCATGTCATAGTTGGTCAGAACCCGTGATCAGTTCTCTCCCCTGCAAGCACTGATTTTGCAAGGCGTTTTGTGGCTGTTGGGCTTACAGGACGCCGTTGCAGTGGTTCTCAGATCCAAAAGCTGTCACATTGGTGCTTTGTTTATCTTTTCATGTAGGCTGTTCCTTTCCCATAGCCTGATGCTCGACAGTGTCAAAAGAGGTTGGAGACATCGTAAACAGCGAGATCGCCCTGCAGTGCGAAGAGACGATGGATCGAACACTGGATGCGCTCATTGCCGAGCAGGCCAATCCCATGACCGTCTTTGGTGTCAAGGCACGTTCATGTTATTGGTGTTTGCTTGAAATCATAACAAAACCATCCAACTGGCTGTATAGACATTTTGTTATGCGAAGCCCTGGAGATTGAAAAGATTCAAAAGGTTGATATTTCAATGTAAAGTCTAGAGATCCTTGGGGTCCAAGATCCACAGAAACCATGGATCCGAACACCTGGAGCTTAAAAAGATTTGAAGATCGAAATGTCATGAAATGTCAATCTTAGGGATCCGAGATCCACGATCCAGGATTATCTGGAAAGGGTTTGCAAGCAATCTTGGAAGTTGGATTCCTGAGATTGGAATTTCAGTCCCAAGTTTGGGGATCCAACCAGATAAGGAATTCCCTGAAAATCTTGGATCTTGGATCCCACGGATCTGCATATTGAAATTTCAATCTTTTCATTCTTCAGGTCCAGGTAACCAAAATCAGAATGAAGAAAGTAGATGTTTTCTTTGAAGCAAAAAATTGACAGGCAGATTGCTGATAAGACATGCAAGAAGATAGATCTTAGGGGGAGTACCAGATATGATATACATACACATGCATGCAAGCTTCACATGGGATGTATTGGTTCATGCAAGCCTGTTGCTTGTGTCGAGGGCAAGGTGATGCTCGAAGCGCTCCCTAACATTGCCGCCCGGTCCTTGGGTACCCTGGTACGCTACCTCCTGCGGAAGCTGGGAGACAAAGTTGTGGAGCCTTTGGCCTTCCAACTCGTTGGTGGAATCCAGGCAGCCATGGGTGCTGCCGAAAACGGTGTTGACGGACTCTGTGGGCTGATCCCAGTTGCGGGTGGCATTGCTTGCTCCATCCTCACAGCATTCGTGGCCATGGCCCAGAAGTTTGTGAGTCCTATAACGATGAACTTCATCATCGACGTAGCGCAGAGGGTCTTTGACTTGATTGCCAGGGGAATCGAAGAAATCCTCAGGCTCATGTTGCAGACAGGAGGACTTATCCTGGATGCCATAGTGGGCGGCCGGTCCGTGGACTTTGCCGCAGACATCGCCACGAAGCTGGTCGAGTCCTTTAAAGAGGAGTTTGCTTGGATTGGAATCGTCCTCTACGGCCCAGTCATGTTCACCATCGAGACGGCTTTCAAAAGCATTGTCACCTTCTTCATGACAGTCGCAGATCAGGTATTTCCAGGCCTCAAGACAAAACTGGAAGACTGTGAGCAGCGTGCTACCAAGTTGCAGTTCACATGGCGTAGCGCAAAGCTGGGTGCTTGAGTTGGAAGACGGTAGCAGCAACTTAGTAAATGGTCCGGCCGACAATCAAATAGTCGTCGGAAGTTTCAAGGGAACTTTTCAAGCATGGTAGGAAATGGGATCGGTCATGATCGGTCTCGGAGCTGCTGCGCTTTCACTCAATGCAGAGCCTGCCAAAAGATCAGCTGATGAGATGACTTCCACGCGCAAAGCGTGCCCGTGTACCTCATGTTCATGCTCATGCGAGTTGTGTTTTTCGGATACAGGCTATCCAGGGCCCGGTCCGGCACGCCATGGAGGAGGGGGGCTTTCAGGATAGTTGTTGCAAAAGCCGTGGGGACACTGGAATGTCGCGACCATGACATTAAACTTTTGGTGTTTTGTGCAACGCCTGTGGCACGGGGGTGACATTTGTCTGACGAAGCTTGCATGGATCTTCCTACCCATGTGCTTCTCGCTCCGACAGCCGTCCAGCAGTCACAATGTTTGTGCAGTGAAGTGTGGACAGCCTGATTGTAGGGCTTGTCTCCAACTATTCTTTGAGAAAGGATCGGAATCAGAGGAAAATGGGCACTTCGAGCCCCTATAGGAACAGCTGCGGGAGTGGGCAAAGCACATTCCCATGAGACGCGATGGGCGCGCCGGCGGCCGGCTGCTCTGCGCCGGGTGGTTGGTACTGAAGCATGGTGATTAGAGGAAGACGGGGTCCAAAAGAGCACCATATTAGTGTACTTTGTTATCCTATGGAACAGAACACTGACATCCCATGGTTTTCTTGTTTCTACGTGCCTGAGCAATGGCAAATGCCACCGATGCTGACCTCATGACCGGAGGACTGGGGAAGTCTGGCATCCGGTAGATCCAGACGCGAGGTGGTCGGAGGCCCAACACAGAGCTTTTATGGCAATGACTTCAACCAGCCTGACCTTTGGCAGGTCGACTATATCTATGTGTTGGTAAAGATGTGGCAGAAACGCGGCACGCCCTGAATTAAGATTCCCGCTTCAGCGTACTGTGAAGAGCATTCGCAACAGCCAAGGCAACGCCTCGGAGGCTTGGGGAGAAGCAACTGGGAATTTGAGTGAAGATGATCGTTACGTGCAGCTGCCAAGATGCCTTCTGTGAGCATCCCGTAACCGCATTAGGGAACGATGTGCTGGGAGTCCATATAGCAGCACATTTTTTACTGGCATTTCCGCCCATGCAGTGCCGGAGACATGCGGTACAGAGCTCGTGAACGTCACGAAAAGGAACCTAGGGACGTAGTACTGTAGTTTCCACTAATTTCCAGCCTGCGCAATCAGCCTTGGGAATGGACAAACTGACATTGAGAACCTCGAGGTGAAAGTTGAGGCACTTTTCGGTTTAGGGGAGTCAGGGCTGGTAGGACTGGCTTTGGCTGATGCTGCAGGCTGGGGTTCACCTCCCGAGCTTGAAGAAGGAGCCTTGAACTTGGACGCAGGGTTTTCAGGCATAGGCATCAAACAAAATTTGACAAGGCATCAAAAAGA